TCCTCCCGTATCCCAGAATTGGCGAAGAAAAAACAATCACAGGTTTCTCATGACTGTAATCTTCATCTGAATAAAATTAATTATAAATTTACAATATCCTGGTATTCTATTGAACTTTTTGTTTATTGCATTATGCTTCAGTTTGGTCTGTTAAGTAATTCATTATAAATAAAAAACTATTTTACTTTATTCAAGTTTTATAAATCCATCAACATTTTCAATTGGTATTTAATTTGTAAAACTCCACTATAAAAATAATCCATGTAAAACTGTAAATGTATATGTACTAATATGGAAAAAATAAAGGATTTTCAGTATTTTATGCATATTATTTGGAATGCACTTTTTGAGGCAGACAATCTTGGAAAGGAGGAGGGAATGACATTCTGACATATGGTGAAAGGGGTGCATGGGGCAAACAAGGTTGAGAACCACTGATGTATAGAATTAAGGAAACAGAACTAAGTGGGTTTCGATTCCATGTAAACACGACTTGAACGCCTTTAAATGATCCTCAGCCACTGGAGTCGAGTATAGACGTAAAAATTATCAATGCCCTCGTAAATATAAAGTATTTTGGTGCATTTTAGAACAGGTAAGTGCTAGTATATGTAACAACGCCTCTATCACTGCGCCACAAAAATCCATAAATAGTTCCATAATAGCGCCTATAAATTTTTCCCAATATTTTCCCATTAAAAAAGTTCCCCAAATGAGCCATAATCAAATTTTCCCCCAAAACGCCATTATAATTTTCCCCCAAAACGCCATTATAAATTTTTCCCCAAAACGCCATTATAATTTTTCCCCAAAACGCCATTATAATTTTTTCCCCAAAACGCCATTATAATTTTTTTCCCAAAACACCATTATAATTTTTTTCCCAAAACACCATTATAAAGATTCTCAAAGAGTTCCAGGCGTGAGGAAGACGATATACAGGATGGAGTCACTATCACCACCATTGTCATCATCACCACCACCACCACTGAGACTTAACACAAACACCAACTCTTCCTACTACTACTACCACCATCACCACAACCACCATCACCACAACTACCACCATCACCACAACTACCACCATCACCACAACTACCACCATCACCACAACTACCACCATCTTGCATTACCCTCAGGAAGATGTTACTGGAGTCCTTCTTGCTTCGCCCTTACCCCTTGTCCCGACTCATGCACCCTGACTTACCTCCGTCATAATATCTCCTCAAACTTGTTAATTCCTTAATAAACATATTTACTAATACACAAAATAGGAGGTTAAAAGCCTAAAAAAAACATTTATGGGTTGAAATATTGTCACGTTCGAATGTATATAATGAAAATAGATAGGTGTCATCAAGTCGTGTGGCCGCAAACGAACGCGGCGGAAAAGCTGGCGTCTGAGCGGAAAACGGAACAATGGAGCTGCCATATTGGGGGGAGTCGGCCATCCCTCTTAATATTATTCTAATGGCGCCCCTCTTGACTGCGCCACGCTCCAGGCTCGTCATATGTTTAATATTTCCCACATTACCCGCTCATGGGACGGCATTGATGGCTTCATTAGAATACAAAGCTCTCTGGATCGCGCAAACGAAAAGTTGATCGCTAGCAATCTATGACGTTATGGCGAAGAGTATATCGACGTCATCTGCACCAACGTCCACACAGAAATAATATATATAACTATATTTACGTTTATAAAATGGAAATATAACATATATCACCATTCATAAATAAATCTTTTTCTGTTCTTTGATGTAGAATTTAAATAATGTGAGTCGTATCTAATATCCTTTTTATATTAGGGTTGTGTTGTCATGGAAACGTAAACACAAAACACAAATTGTCAACTAAAATAAAAGAAATATTTAATCTTACCTTAAAAAACCTATTGGCTATGATAAATAAAACCTAACAAACTAAAACCCACTATAAACTCTTTATCCTGCAGTATATGTGGGTTTAAACCTCCTAAAACCTTAAAACAAGAATATCACAACACTTACGAATTTATAAAACCAAAACTGAAGAGAAATTGAGTTTTTATCTGTGTCGTGATTAAAAGTATGATTGTATTGTGTGTGTGTGTGTGTGTGTGTGTGTGTGTGTGTGTGTGTGTGTAATACCCGGATACAAACCCATAAACAGACATATAAAACAAACCTCATGCTGGACTGTATGTAAACAAACACCTCTACTTGTTTACCTGACCTATACTTCCAACACAAACAAATTGACAACTCCACAAACTAAACAAACATATTACTAAATCCAGGTTGTGTAATGGCAATAATGTCCAGTTTACATACCAGTGGAATTTAGATTACCATAATAATAATAATAATAATAATAATAATAATAATAATAACAACAACAAATCCTCAATATAAAAACCCTTCACAAACAATAACAAGAAAACAAACGCAACACAAAAAAACACACCTAACTTAACCTAACCCTAACTATAAAATTTTCCTTCAAAATATTTTCGTTCTTGGGTTTTGACGTCAAGTGAGGAAAAGGTCAAAGAGTGAGTAACTATGGAGGAAAATCGAGTGTGAGTGTGTGTGTGTGTGTGTGTGTGTGTGTGGAGGGAAGGTGGAGGGGGAAAGGGGAGGAGGAGGTGGAGGGAAGGCTAAGGGGAAGGGAGGGTGGAAGACGAGCTGGAATGGAGAGGGGAAGGGGGAAAGTGACCGTGTGTGTGTCAAAGAAATGTTTACGTGTTAGCTTGATATTAAATTTAAAAAAAATCTTTGATCATTTCGTCCGATACTGACTACATACAGGGGGAGAAGTGTGTGTGTGTGTGTGTGTGTGTGTGTGTGTGTGTGTGTGTGTGTGTGTGTGTGTGTGTGTGTGTGTGTGTGTGTGTGTGTGTGTGTGTGTGTGTGTGTGTGTGTTGTGTGTGTGTGTGTGTGTGTGTGTGTGTGTGTGTGTGTGTGTGTGTGTGTGTGTGTGTGTGTGTGTGTGTGTGTGTGTGTGTGTGTGTGTGTGTTGTGTGTGTGTGTGTGTGTGTGTGTGTGTGTGTTGTGTGTGTGTGTGTTGTGTGTGTTGGGGTGACACTTGGAACCTGAGGGATACTAATCACCTAGCCTAACCTAGCCTACCACCTAATTACCTCCTAACCTACCTAACCTAATCTAGCTTATAGCCTGGCCTTCCTACCTGGCTCTGCCTATCCTAGCCTGGCCATCACCTAGTTCTAACCCTAATCTAACCTGCACACTGAACTGTTTCTCTTGTCTTGGCAAATCTCTCTCTCTCTCTCTCTCTCTCTCTCTCTCTCTCTCTCTCTCTCTCTCTCTCTCTGTGTCCAAACGTGTTAAACCTATACTATGGCAGGAAGCGTTCTCCCATATACGTGTCCAAGGGCAAGACATCAGGGAGGGACACGGTATATAAGGACACGTGACCGTCGGATTATATCTCCACGGGCATGTCTGGACACAGGGTGTACATAAGGCGTGTCCTGGAGGGTGTAGGGGGGTTAGGAAGGGGGGTAGAAGGAAGGGGGTAGGGGGAGTAGGAGGGGGGGTAGGAGGGGGTAGGAGGGCAGGAGGGTAGGAGGGGCAGGAGGGGAGTAGTGTAGCTTAAAAAGTAATATCTTAGACTTTACATTCGTTCACTATCGGTGTTTTGGTGTGTGTGTGTGGGTTCATGTACGTATCTTACAAACATATTTATGAGTGTATATGTATGAACCCCCACAATAATAATATATACCTATAATATGTATCAAATAACATCTATGATATTTTTCACGATATAAAATTTTAACAGGAATTCAGAGGATGAAATTTTTCAATGTATTTTCATCACAATACAAAAACGATATTATTGTATATTTTTTGTTTTTGTTTGTGATATAAAATTGTTACAACACCAATACACATTTAATATTACCGTGGTAGGTCACTGTATGTACATTTATAATTTATATTAGTAATCACACACACACACACACACACACACACACACATATAAATAAATAAATAAATAAATACCGAAGCCAGAGACGCACGGATCCGGACACAAGGCAATAAAAAATCTTCAATGTTCAAAAAGCTATCCAGCACAGATCAAAGCCGGGCCGGGAGATTGCCGCGACTTTGATACAGATAACTTTTATTAAAAACGGCGACTGGTGGAGCCTACACAAGCTTTTGGACAATTTTTAATTTGCCTCCTAAGGTCACGTGTGTGTGCGCGCGTGTGTGTGTGTGTGTATGTAATAAATATAGGCTTATGTGTGTGTGTGTGTGTGTGTGTGTGTGTGTGTGTGTGTGTGTGTGTGTGTAATAAAGACAGATTTATGTGCAAGCGTTTCTGTGTAGCCATTTGTCTTTATGTGTATAATGATAGATTCGTGCATGTATACAAGGTATGTATGTATGTATGTATGTATGTATGTATAAAGGTATGTATGTGGGGGTTAAATGAGAGAGAGAAAGAGATGGGGGATTAGAGGGGCAGGGGGTGAGGTGAGAGATGAGGGGTGAGAGATGAGGGGTAGAGGTGAGGGGTGGGGGTGGGAGATGAGGGGTGAGAGTGAGGGGGTGGGGGGGAGAGGGGAGGGGAGGGGTGGTGGGGTGAGAGGAGGGGAGGAGGGAAGCAATAAGTTGAATGGGAAGTAGAGACCATACGCGACATGGTTATGGTAGTGGTATGGTAGTAAGGTATGGTACTGTGTTATGGTAGTAGTTATGGGAGGAAATGGTATGATTTTAGTGTATTTATTCTGCTAGGAATGGTAGTAATTATAGTACTAGCTATGGTAAGGTATGGTAGTAGGTATGGTAGTAAAGTATGGTAGAAGTTAGTTTTGGTTATGGTAGGATATGGTAAGTCATTATTGTAAAGCTCATGGTAGTGATTATGGTAATAACTATGGCACACACACACACACACACACACACACACACACACGCAGGTATCCAGCACTAAGTTACACCCACATTACACCCACTCTACACCCACTCTACACCCAGTATACTCACTCTTCTTAGGTAGGCCGGGCTGGACACAGGGTGTAGATTGAGACGAGTCGACGGGGAGTGTAGTGACGTCACTGACCGGACCGCTATACCTGTGGGTGTAGGTGTAGGTTAATTAACAGGTTAATTAACAGGTAAACAGTAAACATATAACAGATTTCACCGGGGTGTCTAAAGTTCAGTTGATTCTTGGGGTGTCTAATTTTCAGTTGATTCTCTCGGCTCTACGTAAGCCCATGGGTGGCGCTACATAAAACCATGGGTGGCATTACATAAACTCATGGGCAGAGCTAAATCATGGGTAGCGCTAAATCAAGGGAGGCGCTGATTAATCCCATGGGCGGCGCTAAATAATCCAATGGGCGGCGTTGATTAATCCCATGGGCGGCGCTAAATAATCCCATGGGAGGCGCTACATTACGAGTGGGCGGCAGTAATCAGGGTAGAGGGGCGGCGAACCACCCACACCATTTTCCAAGTCGAGAGTAATATTTCATGCTATCTCCTTCACCCAAAACTCTTGCTCACATCTTCTGAAAATCCTTCGTTCACCTCTACAGCTCCACAACACACTAACTCACTCTTAAAACTCAAAATTTACCCTAAAATCAATTTAATTTTTATCGTAAATCGTAAACAAATGAAGAATTGTCAACTTTGTTTTTTAATTAAAGAAAACGGAGATATTTTAAGGGGGTACCATTGTAAAAAAGACAGAACGAAAGATACTGGCTTTAAATCGTTTCCTCAGCCACACACCACCACCTCAGGGGCTAATAAGTAAAAAGCCTTCGCGTTTAACAGAGAAACTAATCAGGTAATTGATTAGGGGGAGATTAAGCATGTCAACAAGACAATTTCTCATGGAGTGATAAGTCGTTCTCTGTTACCGCTTCCCTCTGTCACTGTCACAGGAAAAGAATTAGCTTGTTGGCGCTTGAGGAGAGCGAAGAGTCTCCTGTTACACAAACCTGAGGTATTTTATTACTTCTAGTACGAGTTCTTTATTTTGATCGTGTTTGTATTGGTTAGGTTAGGTTAGGTTTAGGTTAGGTTTAGGTTAGGTTTAGGTTAGGTTTAGGTTAGTTGAGTTTGGATTACTTAGAGTTTGAAGTTGGGTTTAGGTTGGGTTACGTTAGTGGGTTTGGTTGTGATACTTATAATGTTGTGGTCGAGGCGGTGAGGCAGTGAGGGAGAAGAGGCAGTGAGGGAGAGAAGAGGCAGTGAGGGAGAAAAGGCAGTGAGGGAGAGAGTGGCAATGAGGGAGAGAGTGGGAGTAAGGGGGAGAAGAGGCAGTGAGGGAGAGAAGAGGCAGTGAGTAGGAAGAAAAGTCAAGGAGGGAGACGACAAAACAAGAAAGAAGGAAGACAAGCTACACGACCACCCCACCCTCGCCATTTTCCTTCCTTCTATTAATCTTGGAGTGAGTGCATTAGGAAAATTGTTGCCACCCAGGGAAAAAATGGTGTCCGCCTTGCTATTCACACATCGAAATTTTCACACCAATTTGTAACGTTGACTGAGAAATCAATCCAGGTAATTAAAGATATCGTATACCGTGTCTAAAACCTCCGCCAAAATAAAGAAAAACTGTGTAGGATATACATTTTATTTTTCTTCGGGAGTTGGAGTTTAAGCGACCGACCGCCATTGTTGTTTTTAGTGTTTATTTTCTTTAGGGTATCAAGTAGTGCTTCTTAAAAGTTATGTGGCTTTTGTTTTGTCATTTATTTATTCTTTTCTTGGATTTATTCGTTCTAAATTGGTACGATCGAATAAATATGTATTTTTAAATTGTATATACACAACTGAGATACATAATGACCTTTATTTTTATCTGAAATTATGAACGAAATTACTTTAACCTCGACAATATTGGAACACCATATACAGTAAATACACCCAAGTTTCTCATATTATAATACACCAAACTATCTCTCAAATCTAACACACCAAACTATCTCTCAAATCTAACACACCAAACTATCTCTCAAATCTAACACACCAAACTATCTCTCAAATCTAACACACCAAACTATCTCTCAAATCTAACACACCAAACTATCTCTCAAATCTAACACACCAAACTATCTCAATTCATAAACAGGGGCACATTCACTTATACACACACACATGTTCCACTAATAACAAGAGCCTAATAATAATAATAAATAAATAAAAAATACCTTCATATTATATTTAAAAACTCTAAAATATACAAAACCAAGAGAGTCAGCATATTGTGGCCGCTTCCCCTATAAAATTCCTTCCTTTGTGAATGTCGAGTCAATATCGTCACCATTGTTTTCTACACTTGGCGCCCCACTGTGAGTCGACGAGCACTCTGACGTATATTGAGTCGAGGGCGATTGTTTTGACATCAACCCTCACTTGTTTCATTTCACAATACATAGGAATGTACCACTTGGAGGGGGGGGGGGTGTGGGGGGGGTGATGATGGGGAGGGAGTCTTGCTTGGAGAGAGAGGTAATGTGGCTGGGAGGGAGAGAGGAGGGCAGACAAGAGAGAGAGAGAGGGAGGGGGGTGAGCAGGGGTGTAGACACAATACAGACAGGCACACAAAAGACCCACCGAGGATAAGACAATGTACACCTCAGGGGTCAAGAGAGTGCTAAAAGGTCAGCTGATACAGTGAAGTGCGTCTAATAATCTGTCTTATTGGAAAATTGACCCTTTTGTCGCGGTGCTGGAGCCGGTGTGTGTGTGTGTGTGTGTGTGTGTGTGTGTGTGTGTGAGGGGGGGTGTGTGTGTGTGTGTAAGGGGGCAGTGTGTGCGTGTGTGTGTGTGTGTGGGGGCGGTGTGTGTGTGTGTGGGGGGGTGTGTATGTGTGTGTGTGTGTGTGGGGGCGGTGTGTGTGTGTGTGTAAGGGCGGTGTGTGCGTGTGTGTGTGTGTGTAGGGGCGGTGTGTGTGTGTGTGTGTGGGGCGGTGTGTGTGTGTGTGTGTGTGGGTGGTGTGTGTGTGTGTGTGTGTGTGTGTGTGTGTGTGTGTGGGGGCGGTGTGTGTGTGTGTGTGGGGTGTGTGTGTGTGTGTGTGTGGGGGGGTGTGTGTGTGTGTGGGTGTGTGTGTGTGTGTGTGTGTGTGGTGGGGTGTGTGTGTGTGTGTGTGTGTGTGTGTGTGTGTGTGTGTGTGTGTGTGTGGGGTGTGTGTGTGTGTGTGTGTGTGTGTGTGTGTGTGTGTGTGTGTGTGTGTGTGTGTGTGTGTGTGTGTGTGGGTGGGTGTGTGTGTGTGTGTGTGTGTGTGTGTGTGTGTGTGTGAGGGGTGGTGTGTGTGTGTGTGTGTGTGTGTGTGTGTGTGTGTGTGTGTGTGTGTGTGTGGGGGAGTGTGTGTGTGTGTGTGTGTGTGTGTGTGTGTGTGTGTGTGTGTGTGTGTGTGTGTGTGTGTGTGTGTGTGTGTGTGTGTGTGGCGTGTGTGTGTGTGTGTGTGTGTGTGTGTGTGTGTGTGTGTGTGTGTGTGTGTGTGTGTGTGTGTGTGTGTGTGGTGTGTGTGTGTGCATATTATTACAACGTCCCCTTCCAGACTGGGGCGGTCGGCCTTAATAACAGTGCAGCAGGTGATGTGTGGTGTCGTGTGGTGATGTGTGGTGATGTGTGGTGATGTGTGGTGTCGTGTGGTGATGTGTGGTGATGTGTGGTGCTGTGTGGTGATAGATAGATAGATAGATAGATAGATAGAGAGAAGTTCCACAAGGGTATAATCTATCGCTGCTTGAATAAGTAAAATAACACACCTGAATAACACACCTGAATAACACACCTGAATAGCACACCTGTCAACCCGTCCTCACCTGACAGAGTGACAGGTATACAATCAACTCACAACGAATGAAAAAAACAACGCAAATTCTGACATCATTCGCTCAGACAAGAATGTATTAGTAATAATGAAGAAAACACTAAGAAATATTCCCATATTCTTCATTCATAAACACATAAGACTCGGAACAGAGAAAAAACGATAAATTATGATTTTTTTTCGTTCACATCGTCACGAACTATACACAAACACCATAATCACGTCTTGTCATGAAATATTTACTGGAACAGGTAAGGAAGTTAATATGTGGCAAATTCAATAACAGGTATTAGACAGGTGTGTGAAAATCAGCAACAGATGTGTGTGTGTGTGAGGTAACAGCTATTTTAACTCCTATATCGACAGTACTCATTACAACCATCCAGTACTCACCACAACCATCCAGTACTCATCACAACCATCCAGTACTCATCACAACCATCCAGTACTCACCACAACCATCCAGTACTCACCACAACCATCCAGTACTCACCACAACCATCCAGTACTCATCACAATCATCTAGTATTCACCACAACCATCCAGTACTCACCACAACCATCCAGTACTCACCACAACCATCCAGTACTCATCACAACCATCCAGTACTCATCACAACCATCCAGTACTCACCACAACCATCCAATACTCACCACAACCATCCAGTACTCACCACAACCATCCAGTACTCATCACAACCATCCAGTACTCATCACAACCATCCAGTACTCACCTCCCAGGACTACATCAATTATCGACATATTACTGGAAGCAATAATTTAAAACTCTATTCGAAATCACCTGGAGAAGCACAAGTTGATCAATGATTCCCAACATGGCTTCACAAGTGGGCGTGCATGTCTAACTAATCTATTAACATTCTTTTCAGCTGTTTTCGAATCAGTGGACGATGGGCACGATTATGATGTGATATATCTCGACTTTCGCAAAGCCTTCGACAGAGTCCCGCACGAAAGACTTATAAGAAAAGTGGAGGCTCATGGCATTGGAGGAGATATTCTAAAATGGATTAGTCCGTGGTTACAGGGCAGGAAACAGCGAGTGAGCATTAAAGACACTAAATCCGATTGGAGTAACGTCACTAGTGGAGTACCCCAAGGCTCAGTACTTGGACCATTACTATTTATTATATATATAAAAGACGTAGATATGGGGGTAAATTTGCCGA